TCGAGGAGTCCTTACACCATACGGCCGCATTCCACGCCAGTTTCATCAGCCATTCAACAAATCCGGTTCCCTCGGCGCAAGGAAAGCATACGTAAGCACATGAGACACAAACAAAGGCGACGTATGTTAGTGGGATTTCGAACGACCACAACCGAGTTTCACTCGGATTCAATCTCTAAATATAGATTTTCTTAGGCTATAAAAACCCATGTAATCAATACGCAAAGGGGAGAGATTACCACATAAAGACACACAATATATTACGAGAGATCAGGGGAGATATAACAGATTGGAAGTTTTATTTTGTAACCAGTTCAGAAAGAAATAAAGGTAGCATTTTTCTTACCTCTTTTTTGTTTTTTTTTTCCGCCTTTGCATGTTAGTATTCCTCTATGATTTGTACAAAAACAAAAGAAAGCGTTTTCAGCCGATGAACGGAGGGGCTTGGTCGGGATCTTCTTTTGTAGATCTAGCCCCCGAGGCTCGTTTTTTATAAAAAATGTTTCGTTTTTCTGAAACTAGATTTAAAAAGCTTTGGGAAACAAAAAAAAAAAACGGGTTTTGCCGCCGAGGAACGGCGGCCGTCGCCGTTCAACGGCGGCGGCGAGGCGGCGCGAGGAGGCCAACGGTCGGCTTCTGGAAAAGGTCGCCTGTGTTCTTCATTGCTGAAGAACAAGGCAGAGAAAAGAGAAAGGGGAGGGTATCCCTCGGCTTGGAGAAGAGAGAAATAAGCAATAAAAAGGAAATTCTGAGTTTATACTTAAAACGTCCGCGTATCCCTGTCTAAATTAGGGTAAACTACCCTTTTGGTCCCTCGTATCCTTTGAAGAGTTATTTCACTCCCCAAATCAAAATTAACCCTTAATATTGCATTGAATTCTGACCCCCTAGCTTATAGTTCTTTCAATTTGACCCTTTTTCTGGATTTTAATTTTATTTATCTATTATCTTTTTATATTACATTATAACGTTTATATATATATTTTATATTATTATTAGTTTTTTTACATTCGTATATACGTATTATTAGTATATTATTATTATACTTATATGTTATATTAAATATATATATATAGGTGTGTATACATTTGGTATTTTATCTTATTATTTCTTTACTTTTTTTTATATATTTATCTTCGTTATTTAGTTTCTCTATTACTATTATATAGATTTTTTTCCCCTCTCATATTTAGTTATTATATATATGGAATTAATATTATTATATGTTTTTTATTAATTTTACCTTATACGCTATTATTTTACATTCTTTATATACATGTGGACATTTTTATCATTTTACATTTGTATGTTATTTTATTTCACCTTTATTATGTTTTATTTATTTATTTATTCCTTTTTATTTTTATACATATTTGATTATAGTTATTTATCTATTTTAGTTTTTTTAGGTTTTTTTTTTATTTTACTTATTACTATTATATATATCTTTTTATTTATTTTTATTGTATATATCTTTATTATTATTACCATCGTTTTTATATTCTATATTTTCCTCATCCTATTTGTTTTCCATTTTACCTTAGGTGTTTTATTTGCATCCCTTATCTAATATATGTCTCGATCTTTTAAGGGTACAATTTAAGCAATCTTAGGTAAGTAATTTGGATCATCATTTTACATTTTAATTTAAATTTACAACTTTCTTAATTAAAGACAACTGGAAATTACATAGTACCGAAAGGGCAGTTTAAGGGTGCTAATCCTTCCTTAGCTGTAACCGACTCCCGAATCCGACATATCTTTGGCAAGACGCAGATCAGGTAAGATGTAAGGTATCCGATTAACCTATTTATTTTTAAATAAATAATCGGTGGCGACTCCAATCCATTTTCCTAAGTCGAAGCCCAATTTCGGGGCCCAACCGAAAGACGGTTCCGACAGCACCATTCAAACAGAAATCCTACATCTAGAAATCTTGGTCGGTCTTCAGGCCTATAGTTTTCTGCCATCGTGAACACTGACCAATGAGCCTAGGGAGTCCGGTTTCAAGTTCAACTCCATTCCTATATAGTGAGTTTAATAACTATACTAGAAAACATATCCTTAGAATGCTTTGGAGTTACCAATTGATTGATTTACAGCTTTCATGCAGAGATTTTCATAATATTCTCTTCCCCTGCGTCTACAAATCCTTAGAATGCTGAAACCGGACTGAACGTCTCCCCCGTAAAATTCTTCATTAGTCAAAAGCTTTAGGCCTTTCGTAAAACTTGAATCACCCAATCCTTCAATATGCTTCACCCTTTCCAACAATTCAATGTCAGAAGGGCTAGGATAGGGAAGTCCAACCATGACTATTCATCGCCCCATCCCATCACTGAAGTTGATGCCTTCCGATATCTTGCCACCAACCACAACTAGGAGTATTGCACCACTTTTAGGAGCAGGATTATCAATTGCTTCCTTGTATTCATTGAGAATGGCCTCTATCTCTGTAGGTTCTCTGAAGACATGTTTTCTCTTCAAAATTCTTTCAACTATTCCCGAGGTTTTCCATGCACCGTAGACCTGTCCTTCGTACTCAAATGAAGAAAAGAATACAACGATTCCTTCGGGAACAACTGTTGCCAAATTGCAAAGCAAGAGCCCTAGTTCCTCTATCTATCAAGACCAACGAAAAATAGTAATGAAGTCAGTTAAGTGGAGTGAGACCATAATCAATTTGAGAACAAAAGAAAAAGATTCAACAAACAGTTGGTTACAAAATTCATTGCAATGACAGATTCCGAGTGTAGTACACTAACCATAGTTGATGAACCTCTGAAACTATAGCTAAAATCAAAAGATCTGCCTGATGGTCCACGAGATACTGCAAGTGGCAATATACTCTCTGGAGGAACAATATGGCAACATGAAAAGAAATGGAGCTGATCCGATGGTAGCCATGGAAAAAGTCGCTCTCTTGTTTCTTTTATTGGTTGCAGAGTTCCTCCTGCCAGTAAAACAGCATGTGCTTCATGCACAACCTGCAAACAGTTGCGATATAGGATTTCCTTAATAGATCATGACGATGTCGGGTATCTAAAATACGGACTTTAACACCATGTATTGATATCAAACAAAAGACATATAAGGAATAAAAACAATCACTGGGATTATTTAACTCTTGGAATAACCTGAGAAAAAATCTTTTCACCGGTGCGCATAACATATTTCAGGTAAGCTCCTTGTCCTGAAGATGTTGGTCTCTTCCTAGAGATTATTATCCTTCCATCACCATCATTATTTGTCAGCGACAATAACATAGTTGCCAATAACTGAAAGCCAGATAGAATGCTACCACAATCGCAACTTTCCCCATTTTCCTTGATTGTTGAACCTTTCTGCAAGGTAGTCATTTTATCTCCATACCCGCTAACCTGGAGCATAATATAGTGAGTTGTGACCATAAAATTGGGAAAAGTAAAAGAGAAAAGGAACCGAAGTCATAATTTCACAATATAAGAAAAAATATTGTATGGACACAAATCTACCTTGTGCATGATGTCGCTTTCCTTTATATACTGAAGCAGCTTGATCAAATTAATGTTGTCAATATTGAGGGAGAATAAAAAATCATTTATGGCCATGGAAGAATCAAAGTTTTTGTTTTCTGCAACACCTCTGTCAGCATCTGGGCAAGTGTTTAAACAATTCCCATCCTTATCATCGAGTAGAACTTGAAGGAAAGCCCGGGTAAGAACCAAAAGTGTTTGAATATATCTTCGATTTCCAGGTCCTAAGAGACTGCGGAATCTTCCAAAGTACTTCTCTATGTGGCTATGTACATTCTCCAACTGAAAAAACATAGAACGACTCGATTTTAGTTTTAGATGAACTAGAATCTACAATATAACATCAAAAGCTAGTATAACTGAGTATAACAATATGTTTGAAAAGATTCAAATTCCTTCTAAAATGAAAAGGTATCTGATTTGTAACTGGTTTCTCCATGTTTTCATCATGCAGGTTTCAAACGGTAAATGGAATATTTGAGAAACAAAGAAATCGAAATACCCAGATTGCTCATTATTTTTCAAGTACCAATGACAATACCAGAGAAAATAATATACCTGTGACAAAGATATTTTCGCATCATACATGCTAATGAGGGAATCAGCCAGATTGTGAGCTTCATCTATTATAACAACACTATTCTTCAGATTCAACCCCAGAGCTTCGCGTGATGCTTTTGAAAGGAGTGATTGATATGGAAGAACTACTAGATCAGCTGAGGAGATCATACTTCGGGAGCCATAATATGGACATGTTCCTATATTTCTTCCAAGTTGAACAAGATCTTCAATGTCCAATGCTCCTTGTTGAGAAACTTCATTCCTAAACTGTTTTTTTAGTTTATGTTTTCTAAGTATTGGGCATCCAGAGGAAGCCTTAACTCGCCGTATCTTTCCCTCTGTGCCTAAGTTCTGCAAAAGAACAGGCATACTATTATTCAAGAAAACCCTCTTTTCCCAGAAACACACATTTCAGTTATTTGTCTTAGCAAAAGAAAACACACATTTGAGTCATTAATTAAAATTAATTATTTTTTTTAAAATTTTATATAATTTTGATTGATATAATAGTAGTTTTAGTCAGTAATATTTATATATCATGTCAACTTGATCTTAATTCTATAAAGTTTAACATATGATTTATACATTTTACAAATATTTAGAATTCAATTTGTTGAATTGACATAAATTATAAATAATGATGATTAAATTTATTATTACATCTATAACATTTATATAAAGCTGATGAAAAGCATTAATAGCGTAATTAATTACTTACTTTCAAACTTGTTGAAAAACATTAATAGTGTTAAATTGCTGTTCGATTTCTAATAAGGATCAATTTGTCTATTTTCAAAACTAAAAGGTATCTAAGAGGTATTTTCACCTTTTTTATATTTAGTTGATACCTAAGTCCAGCTTGAATGAAGAAATTAGGCCAGTATCCGGTGCTAGCCCAAAAGCGTAAATATAACCCAGAGATAAGCCCATCCAGGAAATCAATCTCTTCAACTCAATCCTGAAAAACCCTTTTGGTGCCATAATTCTTTCTTCCCCGCCGCTCTCTTTCTTGTTCAGAGCCCGAAGAACAAGAGCTTAAGATTCTCCTGCGTCAGCTCCAATGGTATTATAGCAAAAAAGCAACACTCTCGTCTTTTCCCTTTTTGTCTGTTTTTTATTCCTTTGCTATGATTGAATGTTAACAAATGGAATGAATATTGTAATTTGCAGGGAAAAGGAACAGGGAGTTTCGGTAAACGAAGGAACAAGACCCACACTCTTTGCGTGAGATGCGGCCGCCGTAGTTTCCATCTCCAAAAGAGCCGTTGTTCTGCTTGTGCTTTCCCTGCTGCCCGTAAGAGGAAATGTAAGTACCCCACTGTTCCTTTCATTTCTAGATCTTTATTGTTTTGTCTGATTGCTTCCTGTTATTAGCTCGGCTTTGAAATATGGAATTCTTTGTGTTTAGCTGATTTATTTTCTTGGTTTTCTTTTTTCATCTACTCAGTGTATTCAAGTTAATCGCTTTGATAAGATTATGAATCTTGGATTGTAGTTTTCTAGTTTGCTTTTCCACTTGAATGTATTTCTTCCAATTATAATTCATTGCCCTGAATATAATGAAAAGAGAGTCTGATGTGAATTTTTGTATCTTTATCAAAGTATGAACTAGTATCCTTCTAAACTATGTACTTGCATAGTACTACTCGCTGACATATATATTGATTAGAGCATTTGTGAGCCGAAAGCAAAGTCACAAGAAATGTGCTTATATTTGTAATCCTAAATCGCAGTAACACGGATGCGGTGTCCGGTCATGCCTGTTTATTATGTTTTAGATTTTATGAATGTCTGTAAATGGATTGTAATTAGGTACATCAATTAATTGTTAAACCTAAGGGAACTTATTTATTGTGGGAATCAGATAACTGGAGTGTTAAGGCAATCCGAAGAAAGACAACTGGGACAGGTAGGATGAGGTATCTTCGCCATGTTCCTCGCAGGTTCAAGACGGGTTTCAGAGAAGGTATGTGAATGCTAATTTCATTATTTGGACATATTCTGTTCTAGTTGAAAGTTCTTTTCCCCTAACAAAAATCTGTTCATAATTTTCATTTCTGCTGGATCATGATCTAGGTACTGAAGCAGCACCAAGGAAGAAGGTTGCAGCTGCTTCTTCGGCTTAAGTTGCAATGAGGTTGTTTAGATGAATCCATCCTTTTTAAGTAGAAGTTTGTTCGGCTTAAGTTGCAATGAGGTTGTTTAGATGATCTAGTTTCTATTTTTATGTAGCTGCTTAGGCTATTGTTGTTCGACTCTTAATTACTTGATATTTTTTCCTTGATAAAGTTAATTACGTTCTTGTTTGAGTTACGATGTCTGTAATCTCGTTTCGGATTGTTGGAAAATTTAAAAATAATGCATCTCAAATTACTGTTGCTTAGAGACTGGTTGAGCAGATTGGTGGATTCAATAACTGTTGTCTGAGACAGGTTCATGAGTTAATTGTTAAACGTTTGGATTATAGTGTGGAAGAATTTTGTATGATTCTTGAACAATTCTTCTCAAGAGATTTTGATGGGGTATGTGCAGCAAAAAGTTGCTAACACAATTGTTGGCGATAAAGAATAAACACTATCAATACTAACATAAAAATACATATAATAATAATATCTAATTGATAATTTGACATCACCACAACTAAATCGGGATCTATCATCGGTGATTGTTCCGACTTTTCATTTTGTTAATTATGCACATGTTTAAGGGAGTAAAGATAGGGAGGGAGAGAAAAAGAAAAGGAACCGCAGCAAAAAGCTTTCAATTATATTATATATTCACTGTTTTTAAGGTTTACTTACAATTTTCCTCCAAGACTGGTGAATTTTTTTTTCTCAAGAAAAAGAGACTAATTACAGAATTTAAGCCTGTGTATGTAGTCGAAGATATTGGCACTGTAAAATATGAATGAAATATCTTCTCAATGCAGTCAATCAAGGCCAATGCCAAACATGAATCTCAACATTCTACTTGAGGTGAACTACAAGGCCAAACCTCTCTATTATTCGAACTCCACATTTGAAATCTCAACTAGTTCGCTTTATATTCACCAAACTTGTGTTTTTCATCGTGCAACTGCTTGAATACATAATCCATCTCTGGAATTGCAGACAACAGCAATAGCTCGATAACGTCATATGCCAGCAGCTTCAAACAGACACTAGACTGCAACAAGAGAGAACAGGCGCGTAACTAAAACGGGTTTTTAATATAAAAGAATATCTTCAGCCACTCTTGACGACTTGCAAGCTGCACCAATCATGTTCTACCCTACTCGATGTTTATAATTGAACTGTTGTTTCTAAAAACAAGACCCTGTTCCGCATTAAAAGAACCAAAAAGAAAGTCTATTAATGTCCTCAATTACCTGAATAAAGAAATAGAGATCTTTGGCGCATTGTTCATACTCCTTGTGACCAAAAAGGCCCACAATAGCAGCAGGCGCTTTGTCTGTGTCAAGAAAATAGAGTTAATTTTCTTAAAACTTTCAGCAATGCAGATTATAATAAGAAACATTAGGGATAGACAAACTACCAATCATTAGCTCATAAACGAATTTTGCACGACGTTCTGCTTCCAGTTGTTGCTGCTCATCACTCGATATAGGTGAAGAAGTTTCAGGAGATTGTGGATGTGTTGAAGCTTGGGTTGGGCTACTGGGTGGTGGCGGACGTTGTCGCCTTGGATGTTTGGTTATGAATATTCCATCAGGCCAAAGTATCTGCATGAAAATTGCAGTCATTCTATATTAGTACATAGAAGCACAAGATAATACAGAGAAAATCTCCAACATCGCAAAAACTTATGAGACAAAGGATTTAAAAATAAATTTCAAGTCAGATAAGACATTGAACAGAATCCCAATTGATCTTGCTCTTAAAAACATATTTTGGACATATCTAGACTAAGCTGTATAGAAACTCCACTACAAAGAACAAAATTGGTTCCACTCCAAAGGCTGAGAAAATATAATTGGGGTTGGGCTACCCCTTCCATCCTCTTGCAAACTCGGTCAAGAGGAGATTTCTTTTAGGTCTATAGTGCCACTAAACAAATTTACAGATAAATCTGTTATACTTTTAAAGGGGAAAAATCCAAGATCAAATGACTACCTGCTCAACACGCTTGATTCCTGAAGCAACAACTGACCCCCTGCGCAGCAGCTGGATCTTTTCTATCAGCCAATCATCAAAAGCATCACCCATGCCAAGTTGTAGAACTTGTTTGGCCACCCAAAAAGCCTTACGCCTGAAATACACAAGCAACGTATGTAAAAATTGTGCATCTAGTCAAGAACTTGATGTGATGATGCTAAGCTTACATTAGGGCGGATGAATTCCCGTTTTAAGGAGGCAAAATCAAAATATAATGCTAACGTAAGTGAATAGTCCTATAGCCATTTATCTACCTGATCCATCCACCATCCTGGAGCTGGAAAATGACATCCACCAAATCTAATATAGGAGCAGTTAAATTTGGTGGCACCCACTGCACAGAAAGATACGTTGTCTGTTAAAATCCATTGAGGATCATAGAAGCATTTCAAATTAAGTTGCAAATAAGTATGAAACATGAAAGTACCACATTTGATTAAGAATGGTTATGACAGCCAAGTGGAGACAGTGATAGAGGAAAGAGAACATTTGACATTAAACTGATTACCTCTGTAGGAAGGGTTGGGTACATGGCAGAATCAAGAAGCAACTCAGAAGCATCTTCCACTATTTTATTCTCTCTTCCTTTAACATTTTCCTTTGAGTTCCTTACCAACAATGTATTTCCAACCCTAGCATCCGAATCACTGCCAGTATCTTCAGAGGACTTGCACCATCCTTCAGTGGGAACTTTTGATGGAGAAGTTGACACATTTTTTGCATTTCTTAATTCATCAGTTGCAAAATTAGGTTTTATTTGCAATGAAGGTTCATTGCTTTCAGTGTCCAACTGTCGTCTCCTGGAAGTTAAGGGACCCATCAGAGGCCCCATAACATTTGAAGCCTTTTTGCTCTTTTCAGATGGGTTGTCATCAAGGCCAACTAGAAAGTTTCCAAGCAACACAAAAAATATTATCATCTGAAGACAGGTTAAGGAGGAAACAGCAAAATATGCAAACAACCTAATAAATTATATTTGAATTACCTGACAATGTTTCAACAATAGAAAAAGAACTTGAGAATACATATGTCTGCATTACAAAAATATATATAATAAGAGATTGGGCTTAACTGGGAAAATCTGTGACTCCCCCCCCCCAACCAAAAAAAATATTAATTTCTCCTCCCAGAAAATAAAGGAAAAAGAACAGTTTTCCCCCACGAGGAAAAGGAAAATAGAAGTTCACCTGGGAATCAACACTTAGGAAGTCCCACACTTCAATTGATCCTGAAACAGAAGGAAGCTGCAAGAGCTTCTGAAGAAGAAGAAATATTAATAAGTCCTCTAAAAACATAAAGATAAGCAAATCTAGTGTATAAAGCCTATGCTATGTCTATTTCTCATATACAAATTAAATGACAATTTGAGCAGATGCAAGTACTAGCAATCAAACAGCCCAACAAATATATTTTATGAAGAAACCTCAATATAGAAATAAAATATCAATTTGAGTTTAGAACAACAGATATGCCCTCATGCATGAAGAAAATTGGTAGAGTGAGTTCAAACATTTAACCTTTAAATATTCATCAAGCAATTTACACCGTTCTCGTATAACAGGAATGTCTAATCCCGTTGAGAGAAAATGCTTTGGCGGCAAGTGAAGTTTATACTCGCGAAATGATTTAAGACGCTGATGCAGCTCCTCAAAATGGCGAAACCTGAATTAAAACAATTAAAAAGGCTAGAAACTCTGATAGAGATGAAGATAAATGTAACTAGTTTGACACTACAGAAAAATCCAACCGAGATGCCTCTGCAATGAAAAATGAATGCTATAGGATGCAACATCAGAGGAAGATTAGAAAGTATATAGCACACTCTACACACCTTCTCTTGATAGACCAACTACTATTGTTATTTATTACATCTGTTACAGATATGGAGTAAACAGCAAATGTTCTAGAACCACTCTTCACAATATTTGCACCTAAAACCTGCAAAAGGAATAATATTGCAATAATACAATATTTTTTTTGATAGGAATAGGATGTCTCATTTAAAACCTCCTTCTAAGTAGTCCATTGCCGTAAGGCAAGAACCCTCTAGAAAAAGGAGGAAAAGAGAACATCAATTTATTAGAAATGAAACACTTACAAAAATAACATACAGAAGAAAACACACTCCTACAAAAATACTTAAGACAAGAAACACTCCTACAATACCTCACCACATAGAAAACACACTCCAACTAAAATACCAAAGACTAGAAACACTCAGCCAATACCCTCCTTAGCCAGCTTATCCGCCTCACAGTTACAACACCTAGGGATCCACCTGATAACGATCTGATTTCGAGAAACAGCAGACACTATCTCCTTCACAAAAATAGATAGGTACAAAGGGACAGAATTTTGATATTTAATCCATTCCACTGCTGTCTTTGAATCACTTTCAACAATAAGCCTACCCTTCGAAGCCCAAACAGATGAAACAAAGATGTCAATGCCTTTCTTGATAGCCTTTAATTCTGCTAGGATGGGAGTATTAGGACCAACATTTATCGAAAAAGAAGTCAGAATCACCCGATTCCAGTTCCTAAGAATACCCCCAATACCAGCCACCATCCCCAAACTACTCACCGCTCCATCAACATTCATTTTAAAATAATCCATAGGAGGAGGAATCCAGCAAGACCCAATGCTGTTCAAAACCTTGAAGTCTGGAAAGTTGTCTGCCACAGAGGGGTCACCAATTAAAAAATCACTTGAGTTGAATACCGAGGAAACTTTGCAACAAACCACTTAGCTAGTCTGAAACGAACAGTAAAAGATAAAGAAATTCTGTCTAACTTTCCCTTGTCGAAAATGATCTCGTTCCTTAACTTCCAAATGGACCAAAAAACTGCCCCTGGAATGAACTTCCAAATAACTGATTTTGGCCTCAAAACAGCCCATGAACTGAGCAGTTTAGGGGGGTCTTGTGGAATAGTAAGCTGAATATCCCAGTACCCTATAATTTTCATCCATAATTCCCAAGAAACAGGACAAGAGACAAACAAATGTTGAACTGATTCTGCCCCTTGATTACACAACGGGCAGAGAATGATCCCCCCTACATCGATCCCCCTTCTCAGCAACTCCACTCTCACAGCAACCTTTTGATGAGACAACTGCCAAAGAAAAGTCTCCACTCTTGGTGGAACTAACCCCAG